TATTTAATACTTAATAAAACTAATTATGCAATTGAAATTTTAAAATAAAACAATATTATTTAGAATAATTTTATTAAACCATTAATAGTTATAATAAAAGTATAGCACTCATGCTAAATAATAATTAGTTTCCAAGGCATTCATAATGATGCTGACACAACGGTCTATCAACTTCATCATGCTCGTGAACATACCATAAGCGTTTACGATAATTTTTCTCATTTCGTAACCAATCATTGCGTGTATCGTTGCAATCAAATGTTGAACCATCTACATGAATCGAGTTATATTCATTAGAGGCAAAAAATGATCTAAAAACCACTTCATCAAGATGATACCAGGGTCGAGGATTATCGATATAGCTTTTTAATTTATGATTATAATAATAACTACGATGATTATCCAACATCAGTGAAACATTTGCCCCACAATTAGCTAAAGAATTATTATCAAAAATATCGCTGGTATTTGCATTTATTAAAGTCACCTTGACCATTGGTGCTGTTGAGGTAAATACCATTACATTTTCTGATATGCGTGTAACATGGTCAACATTTATCTTAAATTCGCCGAGGTTATTTAACGAATAAAATGCCCTATCGCCTATAGTCATTAGACCAACATCCTTAATAATTAACCTGTTCAGTTTACTAAGTGGCCCAAACGCATCAGCTGGTATATGACGTAAATTTAAATCTTCTAGATACACCGATTGTAGAGACAATAGACCATTGATAATAGTAAAAATGTCCGTTTGAACATGGTCAAAATGTGGACTGCCAATGATGCCAAAAAAGTGTAAATTACCTTGGTTAATAAACGACTGTGTATGAATTCTCGTGAGTTTATTGTTATTGTAGATGGTAACTCCTTTGAATTGAATGTGGTCAAAAGTGCCCGGGGTAATTTCTGTTATATTAGTGCCAAATATTGTCATTGAGTCAATGCGATTTTTACCATTATCCAATACTGGTAGCTTGGTCATTCTGGCAATTTCTGGAGCCAATGAAATTAGTAAATTATCCGATCCATCGCACATGCAATTTAGTCCGCTTGTATAATTGCCACAATGGCACACTATTTTATCACCATGATCATTTAAAGCAGATATAGTGTGCAAATAAATAATAAATAAAATTATAATAATCACAATTTTAATTTTAAACATAATTATTCTTAATTTGGTATATTCTCCTTTTACGTTAATATGTTATAAAATGTTTAACTTAATGTGAAACAATTGACTGAAAATTTAAAATAAGAATAATTAAAAGTAAATATAATTAAAATTTATTTATGAAAATAGCACCTGTATAAATTACAATGCATTTTATTATATTATTTAGTATTTTTATATTTAATTAAACATTTTATTTGATGTTAATTGCATACTTATTATTTAAGTACGTAAAATTGTTTTAGTAATTAGTAAGTGTTATGTAATACATAAACATACAATATAATATTATTATGTTATGTATTAAGATACTAATTATGTGTCTATAAGTAATTTTTAAAATATTCTATGACAGTTTTTTATAATAAATAAATTCCCTAATTATTACACAAATAAATATATTTTTTAAATAATAATTAGATAGATTTTAAGTTTTAGTTAACGAATTAATTATTTGTTACATTATTTTACTAAATATAACTAAATTAATATTTCTTAACTATAATACAATACGAATATTGTGTAATTAACAATATTTTCAACTTAAATTGCATTATGGTAATTTTATTATTAACACTAACCTACCATTTACATTTAGGATATTAAATAATTAAATGCAATCAAAATATGTCTGAATAAATATTTAAAAAGTATGATTGTGATCAATTAGTATTTACAAAATTATTTGTTAAAGTTTTATATTTTATAAAAAAAATGTCATTTTATTTACAGATTTACAACCTTGGATAAATTTAATAATACAAACTTCAAATGTCATTTTATAATTATAATTTTGACACATATAACACAAGTCATATCCTCTGTTTAAATAATCAATATGAAAACTTATCAAAAATATACTTATTATAAAATCATTTTTATCATATAAATTTAAACCCTTTTCAAAATGAAGCCTCCTGATCCTGATCAATATAATCTGAACAATGCAACTTTATAATTTTGATTAAATAAATGACAGTTGAATTTGCAAACATTAAGTAATTTATATTATTTAAATAAACATCCTAGTCAACATGGCTATAAAAGCAATATTAAACTTGAGGACCATTTAGTATTATAAAGGGCTATTCTTTACATACTGTTCATGAAATAATGGGTACTTTATGTCAAACGTTAAGTTATTTTACATTATTAATAATAATATATATTATTCATATTGAAAGTTTCAATACTACCAAGTGCCCTTATGAAATATTACCATGCTTCTGCTCTCAATATGATAACAGAACTTTTCTGAACTGCAATGGTACAAACATAAACAAGCTAAACTTACAAATGACCGAAAGCAGTTTAACGGTTAAACAACATATTAATAGAATAACTATTAATAACACGAGTATAACGGAAATTAGTCGTGATATGTTTGGAAACATTCTGACTAACGAGTTATGGATAATGGGACAACCTCTGTTATCTCGAATACACCCTGATGCGTTTTTGGACCAGAATTTAACATACCTCGCTATAGTTCGGTGTCCAATATTAAATGTCAAGTCTGGTCCAAATGACCCTGGTCTATTTTTAATAATAAATACACTTACATCTCTGAGATCCATCTATCTATCCTCGTGTGGCATCGAAGATATACCAGCTAATGCGTTTGGTAAACTAGATCGTTTATTGTATGTGGGCATAGGTGGTTCATCGCTGAAAACAATTGGAGAGAGAGCATTTTATATGCTAACTAATTTGACATGGTTAATGTTATATAATACAACTATAACTAATATTCCATCGAATGTATTAGTATTCAATACTAAGGCTAAAGCATTGAAAATAGATTTTAACGATAACAATGATATAAATTTGAAATTTGGTCCAAACGTCATAGATAATTTTGGTCATAATAATGTATCATTGTTGTTTGGTCCGTATTCAAACAAACCCAAGTCAGAATTACCAACATGTTATTTGAACGAGAGCGTTTTTGGATCTTATTTTCAATCTAACACAAATAACAAGGTATATTTATATAAATCAAGGGTCAATACCAATGATGAGCGAAACGTGTGGCTAAAACAAAAACCGGATGTGTGCGCCCGGATATACCAAGATGGGTATTATAATACAACAATTAAAAGATTTATCTGGGAACATCCTACATTTAATACAACAGGGTAATATTAATTAATTAATTGTCAACTATTAGAAATGTTACAGATTCATTCAAATTTTCTTTATGTATAAATTTTACTGTTTGTATTAATGCTTATTTAAATTTGAAAAAAATAAAAATTATATTTGATTATGTGATTATGAATTATAATTTTAAAATTTAAATAAAATTAAATTCATCTGCTTTTTAAATGCTCTTTATTTAATTATAATAATGTTTGCAAACATAGTAAAAGAATAACATTTAAATAAAATCATAATTAATTAGTCAAAATCTGTAATTACAGCCCGACCATAATTATTGCCATCGATAGTAACTTTTTCCAATTCGCTAGCTATAAAACCTATACCATGATTACCAAGCTTAGCCAACAATTCTATTTTAGTTTCATCAAAACTAGCTTTAAGCAACGGTAAAGTCCATAATAGTTGCTTTTTCAAATCCTGTAGTTCGAAGTCAGCGACCGGTGATTGTCGACTATAAGCCAGCAACTGATTGGCCACTTGTCGGACACAATCCTCGGTAAACCGCAACTGCTGTTCAACGCCCTGACGGTATGTCTTAGCAGCCATTTCTATGGCCGTGGGTTTACCCCTGTTTATTGAGGTTATTGAACTTTGAGATCCCAATACTAAGTTTATGGTATAATTTAGGTGCGACTTATCGGCCAACCACTGGACGTGTAGTTTGCGAAGGATTTTGTCCACTAATTGTACCGATAGTTTCATTGATGTCTCGACGACCGCCTGTTGTGCGCCCTTTGATATGTCAACAGCTGTTTGTTTTATATTTTCTGATAGATCGCGGTTAGACTTTATTAAATCAATAGCAGCTAGATTGAAATAATTACATTTTTAATTCATTATATCAATATATGTAATAATTACTAATGAAACATACCGTTAAACTTATTAATCTGAGCGTCAGTGTAGCTAATCTGGTCCATCAATACTGATTTGCTATTACTTAGCGCCGGAATGTTTGAGAGTAGGGCTAATTGATTGACAGCATGTGTTAATCCCTTACGAATTAATGTGTCGGTAGTATTAAATTGTGAAAACCATCTGAGTTTAACATTTGCCACAAACTGTCGATACACCTGTGCCTTATCGGACACATACCTGTCTTCAGAGGCCGGTATACGGTTAGCCCCGACGGCCTCCAGCCGTGAATTACTCACAATAATGAGTGTTTCAAACTGCCAGCGCAGCCATTGAGAAGCTTTAGCCACATCTGACACATCTTTCTCTATATTAGCATTGTTTTTACCAACATTACCATCTAGTTTAGTTAGCGATTTTACAAATTGCACCCAGCTCAAATAGATATTTGCCTGAACGCGTGGGTTAAACTGTGTTAAATGCTCTATTAGAGCGGCCTGAATCAGCTGATCATCTTGACCTTGCTCAGTATTGTTGCCAATAGCCCGCTCTAAGTCAAGTAGTGTTACCACGTGCTCGTGGATCAGGTACTGCATGGACTGAAGATTAACGTTTGGTATATCGTATGGAAAGTTGTCGTCAACTACTGGTTCAAAGTCAGCGCCTGTTGAAAGAGTTGCCACGTTCTGGGTTTCGGTAGCCGTCAGCCCCTGTATGTACTGATGCATGAACTGAGTCTTAGCGCCCGGTCTCTGTGTCACAGCGTTTATGGTAGCAATTGAATCGTTTAGACTATCAGTTACGTGATTAGAATAGTACTGTGTTGGTAGATTAACAATAAATTGATCATGCTGTTTAGCACTAGCGGTGAGGGCATGTATTTTGGGCCAAATGTTTTGAATAGTGTCCAGCAATTGCCCGATTAAATCCACCGGCAATCCAATTGCTAAGTGTCTGAGTGTTGATTGAAGTGTATTGATTGGGCCAATTGGTAGAGCACCGGGAGATGTGGGTAACATTTGAGTTAGTTTATCTATGCCGGTGTTGATGTTGTCATTTAGGGTATTTTTAAAATTAGCTAGCGGCAAATGCGATGGCAATGCAAACACTGTAAAATTATTATGGTTATTTTTATTCTCATTTAATACTTAAATAAAATACTTACAATTGAATGCGTTTAAGCCACTGACACATAGTGCTATGGCCAAAAAGTTTGATGGTTTAACCATAATGATAAAATATTATTTCTAATGAATGTATTTTAATAGAAGAATTTTTATATTTTAAATACAATTTTAAAATTGATATTCAAAATGAATATTATTTTAATGATTATTCTATTTTATTATTGGCAGTATTTATACAAAATTATATAATGTAACAATATTAAGTGCAATCTTAGTTCGTTAATTAATTAGTGTAACATAATTTTAATTGTTAATTGTATTTATTTTAGAATTAATCATGCTTCATCATATCCGTGAAATTGTTAATTAATAAGCAGGTTCAAGTTATAATCCGGATTTTAATTGTTGGTTAAATATGTTAAATTAAATTTAATAGAAATGATTTATATGCAATCACTAATTAATATGGTCGACTGTTGTCCTCACTTATATTGTCCTAATAATAATTTTTTGAATAAAACATTGTTACACTACAATTCACATGTTTAATAAACAATTAATTATTTAGTGATTAATTAACAACACAAGTTATAATTTGTAGATTTCTCTCTCTCTCTCTCTCTCTCTCTCTCTCTCTCTCTATGTTAATAATTAATTACTGATAATAACGTTTAACTTAAATGTGTTTATATTGAACTTAATATAAATTACATATATAATATTGTTTTATGAATAAAATACGGTTTACTTAAAAAATTACTTTTTAAAAACAATTTCAAACTCAATAGGATTTAAAACCATAACATTTGCGTTTCGATCGGGTTCTACACAATCAGGGTTTTGATATTTGTTGGCCAATTGAATTGGATGGTCATTAGTATGTTGTATTATTTTTACCATAAGTAGAAATAAACTATTTATAGCCATAAATTCACCAGGACACGACCGTTTCCCCGCACCAAATGGTATGTAACCTGAAAGGCCTACGGAAGTAAAGCATCCATGCTCATTAAGAAAACGATCCGGCTTAAATTGATGGCCATTTTCCCATAGTTTATTATCCGTTAATATCTGCCATAAATGCTGAACCATTATTGTTTGACTCGGAATTGGATATACACCATCTTAAAACAAATATTCAATACGCAGATAATTAAGTAATTGTAATTAATAATGGTTTTTAAATAAATCTAACCAATTATAGTGTCGGCTAATGTCATATGTGGTGCTCCAATGGGTCCAGTGTTTCTATAGCGCATAGTTTCGTATAGAAATGCCATAACATTATGCAAACATTGTTTGTCGTCCACAACCGGTGCCCTATCGCCCACTTTATCGTTGATCTCATTTCTCATTATTTGCTGCCAATCGCCATAATATGTCATCAATAATATTAGCCATAATAGTGTGCTGTTTGTTGTCTCAATTCCCGCTATTAATCATGATACATTTATAAATAAAAAGTATATAATTAAATAACATTTAATTAATACCTAAATACATGTCCATAACTACGGCCGCAATGTTATTGTCATTCAAATACTCCAACTCTGGCTTTTCGTCCGCCTCTGCCCTGTGTTTAGCTCCGATAAATAATTTACAAAAGTCCTGACCATTGCTCTCGTCGTAAGTATTTTCACGTTTTTTCAGTTCATTTTTGGTGTATTTAAAACATTTGTTGTATATTTGTTGTAATTTCTGCAACGGATTGGCCATAAAATAGCGAAAAATGGGTATAAACTCATAAATAGCGTAAGTGTTGGTAATATCGTGTCCTACGCCAAAACTTGGGTATTGAAAATTGGCGTACATTTCCTGATCTAACCTAGATCATGAAAATTGATAATTTTAAATAGATATATAAAATATAGAAATCATGATTTATTATACTTATGGTTAAAAATAGTTGTATTAAATATATTGATTAGGATTGAGTTACAATAGGAATGCGGTTTAAACGGTCGATCAGTTCCCTCATTGGTTATCATTGATGTTATAATTTCATCAACAGTTGTGTTCACTATTTCGGTGAAATGCGTTGATTTTGTGTATTTCCTATTAATTAATTAGTTTAATAAAAATAAATATAAATGTAATAAAATTAGAAAACCTAATATTGATGATGGCCATTTTTCTCAGACATTCTACACTTTGAGTATGACTACTAAATAAAATATCACGACGATTGTTTGCGTTGAAAATTGAGCCTAAAATAAATAATTATGTAACTTAAAAACTTGTTAGTTTGTAAATTATGGCTAGAATGTAATTGAGACCCAGGCACAAATTGTGCCATTATATGATCGGGCCACAATGTATGTCATAATATTAGCGTAATTTTAATCTCATTTGACAAAGTTAATTAATTTTACATTTAACTTATAATTGTATTTTATATTAATTGTACCAATTAAGATTTGCATTTTTCCTAAACATTCTCGTTTATTAAAAGCTCGTTTAACAATATCCGGATCACCAATAAATATAACAGGTATGGGACCAATCCATAGGGTGACCACCGGTCCATACAGTTTGTATAGTTTTGTCAATTCTTGGTTAGTGTGTTGTTTCATATTTCTAAACACTTTTAATATAAGTTTATTTAATTAAAAAGTGATTAAATTATTAATTGAAAATTTAATGTTTTGCAATTATTTACGTAGTATATTGCCAATTAATGGCAATGGGATTGGACCTGGTGGGTAATTACCAAGCTGAGAGTAAAATCGTGCCAAATAGTATGCAAACAACCCAAATATGAACGCCGCAAAAAATTGTAACCATGTTAATCTATTCATAGTAATTTTAATATTTTATTACTATTTACAATACTATGGATTTCTATTTTTGTAATATATTATCAATATATTATTTGTAAAATACTCACATGAACATGGTAATTTATTTAATTATTGTAAATCCTGATTATCAAAACTAATAAATAGATTCTTAAATTTTGAGTAAATTTTTTGTATTAATTTTAACAAATACGCAAAATAATTTGATGTAAATAACAGATGGTTAATCATTACCTATGCTTTGCACATCTATGAAATAAAATATTTTGATTGTAAATAAATATAGATGTAGTCTGAAAACCCTGTTATCTAAATTTTAAAGTTAAATACACTGCCTTAGTATACACTGCACGGTTAAAATAAAAAATTTCATTTAACAATTTAACATTATACAATCATTGAAATAAATAAATAATTATTTATGTCGAACATCATCATAGTGCACATCACGATGAACATCATAATTGACATGATCACGAAAGCTTAAATGTTACTGAAACCAATTATAAAACCATACATTGTTTAAAATAAAAATAGAATTATATTTATATTACCCAGTTTAATTTGCTAAATAATAATTTAATTTTAATAAAGTAAGTTAATTCATTTCAAATGTTTACTTTATTTAAATGTAAAATAATAGTTTATATAAATGATTTGATTATAATAAAATTCATTATGTTTTTTACTATAACTTTAGTATAAAATGATTAAAAACGCTACACTTAAACAGTGTCAATACAACAATTTACCAAACTCAAATTTCTTTAAATATTTTATTTTCCAAGCTGAAATTATATAAATAAGTTAATTGTTTTAAAGTACATTGATTTTTAATGCCTTTAATTTTTAGTTAAAATCTTAATATCAAGGATCATAAAAATTTTACACTGTGAAATTGTAAACATTATTATTTGCAAATTAAAAGATTGTATAGAGATATTAAAAAATACTTAAATATTATTCCAAGTAAAGTAGTTATCTTTATAATATTTAAATTAGAAAATACCATATAATTATTATTGGTAATCATAAAAATTGTGCATATTCATAAATAAAAACTCAGCCCCAGTGATGCCTTCTATGGCCAAAGTGACGATAATGCCCGCCGTAATGTCGCCTGTAATGACCCCCATAGCCATAACCATAGCCTCCGTGCCTTCTGTACCCTCCATAGTGTCCATACCCTCCAAAACCTCTACGATATCCATATCCTAAACATTTATATTTAAAAATATTATATTAGTTTATTTATTATTACAAGTAATTTATTGATATTATCTAAAAATAATATTTAGTAATGACTTACCACAACAGGCAGATGTTTGGCCGCAAAGTATAATCAGGGTTAGCAAACAAACGCATAACACAATAACACTTGTTTTATTCATATTGATGAATTTTCACTATGGGTTATTTGTTATCTATTAGGTATTGATAAAATAATACTAAACTAAAGCGAGTACTTATACTTTACTCATATTTATATACATTTTGTTAAAGCAATTATTCTATGTGAGATCATAGAATAAGGTGGTTTGCCAAGACATTTAAAGATCTAGCTAATTTTCTAAGAACTAACACAATATCAAGAAAGGTAAATAGACTACTGTACAATATATGCTGCAACATATTTTTATTTGGAAATTTTAAAGTGGGTAATTTTATTATTTTATAATACAGTATAACAGTATATCATTAGGCATTTGACTCTTAATTGTATTTTGTAAATCTGCGGGCATTTATTACTAAACACCTTAATATAATGCTTTTATTAAGCCAATTATATATGAACACAGGGTATTTACCTACTTGAATATTATAAAGTATGCTATTTATTAATAGTAAATTATCTATACAATACCATTTATATATATTATATAGCGAGCAAATATACAATTTTTAAAAATTATTTATCAAGGTTATAGATTTTGTTAAATATATTGATTTTCACACTTTATTGGTAGTAAGAAATTTTTATTCACTATAAATCATTTACCCCATTAATAATTTTTGATAAAGATTTACATAACAAATACTATAATTACATTTATTATAAGTATGTTTAAATACAGAAACACACATGTAATTAACAAATTAGTAAATTACATAATATCTTATTATTAATCTTTCACAAAATTTTTAAAGAAATTTTCTTCACCAGGGTGTTTCGTCGTGGCCACTCTTGCTTTAGGACGCGCTGCACATAAAATAATCAAAATAATTAAAATAGGCTATGTTACACATTATTTTAAATAACTAACCTATCTGGTCACTCTTTGCCTTAAAGTTTAAAGGCTTTAAAGGTTTAAAGTCATAATATTCATAGTCAATATTAATAGCAAATACATCAATAATCATTACGATATATAAAATAACTTTCAATTTTTCAAAATTCATTTTTATTGATTTGCAAACAATTTAATTGAAATTTTATAATAATAAAACAAAATGTCAAACCATATGATGTTATAATAAATGTATAGCAATATGGCAAATAAATTAACTTCAAAAATTACAAAATATTTTAACTTCTTATGTTACTTTACTTTAGCGTATATTAAATTGAATTAATTTTTATATTAAGAAAACAATATTTTATTTAATGACACAATAAATTATATGTAAGTAGAAATTTTAACTTTTTTTAACTTCCAGTTACAAATTATATTTAAAAATATAATTCTAATTCAATATTTGACAAAAATACATCAAATATTTGAAATTAGATTTTACAAATTGGTTTTATCATGACAATTAAATACCACGACCCCAACCCCAGCCATACCCTCGGCCATAACCACCGTATCCGCCGCCATACCCGCCATAGCCGCCACCGTAACCGCCCCAACCTCCGCGGCGAAACCATTTACCTGCTTCGCTAACTATTATATAAAATAAAAATTAATTTTGTTAGGATTAGGTATTATTAACATAGAAAACACAATGCCAAATAAAATCGTAAAATTAATTACCATCAGCAATGCAGGCAATCAACAATAGCACGGTAAATATAACCAGGCACAAATTTTTGTTCATTTTATATTTTAATATTTAATGTAGTTACAAAAACGTATATTACTAAATTATCATATTTACTAAATTTAAATAACTATATGTTATAGAGAAGAATGATCTTATTGTATTACTTTTGGGATTATATATAGTAGTAAATATCAAGGCTATGAATGGATTTTAGCCATCACTTTTTATTTTGGTTATTTGTTAACCCGGGATTTGGCCAAAAAATCGAGTACTTGTGTCAAGTATTCGCGAACTTTTACTTAAATTAAATTATGTATTTTTTAAATAAATCTATACTACTATAGATTCTATTAATAGGTTGAAGGTTGTTTAAGTGTAAAATGTTTGCGTCTTGTAAGAATGATGTTAAGTAAATTATAGATTGATAGGTACATAGATAAACTCTATTATATTTTTATTTTATTTAAAATTGTAATCGCAGTGATAGGAGAGATGGAGAGAGAGAGAGAGAGAGAG